CGATCCGCGAATCGACATTTACACTCGCCCTCTCACGCCGATGGACCCGCGACAATAGGGTACAACGGGGGGCCGAGCGAGTGGGTACGTCCGGAGCCCTCCTTTCCCACCAGAAAAAGGAAAAAGTAACGCTCCGGCAATTAACCACCCCCCCTATCGCTTTCGGGCCCCTCCCCGTCGGTCCGCGTATTTACCCACGGATAATGCGCCTTATGGGATTACGTCAAAACATCCTGGGAGGGGGAAAAAACGGGAACCTCGGACGACCCCTGCCAGCCATGCGCCCCAGTAGAATGCAAAATCAACGCTCCTATTGTCAGGGTGCCGCTTCTAAATGGCGATACCGAGATCGCTTCCTGACGTGTGACGTGTACCAGCCAGGGGTGCACCCGGAGAATGTAGAATAAATTGCCAGGGGCATTTTGGGACCGGCGCGTAATGGCCGTTGCGGGGTGGAGGATGGGTTTAAATGGCCACCCATATCCTGCACCCTTAAACGGAGAAGCGGGGGAAGCCGCTCGGTTATCTCGGTTTTAGGCCTCGATATCGCGAAAGTACCCCAATCGATGGGGTGCCCGTTTCTTCTCTCCCCGTAAAAATGCGTGCCTTTAAAAAGGCCTCTAAAGACCGACCCAATGGCCCGGTTTAACGCGCGGCGTGGCGCGCCGTGGCGCGTCGCGAGCGGGGAATAAAAAAGAATAAATAAAAAATACGGCGCGATGTGAGGGACGTTAAGCTTTACGATAGAAAATTACCGACCGTTATGGGGTGGTTTTTACGCGGCCGTTCCGCGTGGAGGGCGGTTTTATCCCCGGCTGATGAAGGCGAATCCTGGAATCGCGTCTTTAAGGTAATAGAGGGTAGTTCTGATTGTAACGGCAGAAAAGTCCCGCTTAAGACGGCTCTATAAATTGCCCGCTGTAAAAACATCCCGGGAAGGAGTCGTTCAAGGGATTGGAACTCCGTGCCGCGGACGGAGACCGGGACTCGTTCCTCCCGATCAGAGGTCGATTCGATCGGTATCGATTCCGAGGGGCTCCGCTAACGAGTCAATCGCATCTCTCGGGGGAACGTGGCCGAGTGCGCAATTAAATCCGACTCGTCCCGCTCGTTCGCGGAATCAGGCGTTTCCGGCGTTTCCGGCGCAAAATCGGCCCGCCCTGGGGGGTGAGCGTTAAATCTCTCGATCCGGGGTGCGAAAAAATTATCCATTTCCCGGTTTATTTTGCCTCCCATGGGAAACGGTCACCTCGGAGACTATTTCCCTACCGACAATTAATATCCCTTCCCACTTTTCGCCATTTTCCGCCAAGTCGATCGACCTCGTCGAGCACATCCGCCGCAGGAGAGCAGGTGAAAAAGGTTCACGGCGATATTTTCGTACTTTAGAATGAATAACACCGCACCCGTCGACGGGGTGCACCCCCTCTCGGCGCCCGCAATTGTCGCCATTTTCTAGATAAACGGAATTGATGTTTTTGCCCCCACGGGAGCCGCTCGTCCATTACAGAGATTTCTCGAGAGCCGCTGAACCAACATCGCATTGCCCTGATGCACCCGCCCCCCGGCCCCTCTTCAAGTGCGATTCTCGGTACTCCCCGCAAGTGCGCGAGATCTTGAAAAATTGCCCCCTCTCCCCCGTTCGCTCTCGAAATCCCTCGACGAAACCTGAACGTAAAGTCGCGGAAATTTTACGATCACGATTTTCGCGCCGCCGGTGCAATTGGCATTTGCAGCCTCGAAATTCGCGTCGGTTTCCAGGCTCGCGGATGCAATTGTCACTAGGCGGAAATTCGGCGAAATTCGGCGAAATTCAGCGGCTTTTGAATTGGCGAGGGCAACTGTCAAAATCAAAGGGGAATATTATCTCGAATCAACGGTCGGAAGGGAGTCTAACCCTCGGAGGAAGAAATCGCGGATTTCGAGGGACGCTACTACCGTGCCGGCAGCAAATTAGGCCGGGATTCCGACCCCATTAGGATGCGGAGATTCTAATCCGGAAAAACGGCCCCGTCGAAGCCTGGCAGATGTTTTTCTTTTTTTTCACTCAAAGGAGGGCAGTCTCCGACCCGCGGGGGGTCGAGAGCGCACGTTGGCTTCTATGTACGCACCTACGGGTGCATATGCGTTCGGATACCCGTCTCTCTCCCTTGGTACTCATATGTACACACACAACGACGTAATCCGTTCCATTTATTAAAAGGCGATTCCCATTGTTTTACGGGGTCGTGCGACAATACAATACGCTCACGGAGCGCGCCACATGGCGTCGATCGCGTCCGTTGTTCGTGGGAAATATTTCTCTTTCCATGAAGCGAACCTTCCCGCGGGGTGGGTCTAGACTAAAGATAAAGAGAAGGAGAAAGAAAAGGCACCGTGAATAAGTTTTCGGTTAAGCGAACAATCGCGGCTTTGCCGTGCCGCACCCCCGGATTTCAAAAAGAAGATTGAAAATATTTCCCTCGGAGAAGAGCGTAGGAAATTATTTTCCATCGGAAGAAAGAAGGTAACGACACATCCAGAGCCGCGTTAACCTCGTATCAAGCGTCCGTTTAGGAGCTCCTTTCGGGCCAGTTTTTCGCTGGCGGCAAGGGGTCGGGTAAAATGCGAAAAAAGTATGTATCGCCATAGGTACCTTTAAAGCACCCGCTTTAATTTCCTCGAAGGTACGCTCAGAGGAGGGCCCGGAACTCCCGGTAGTTCGCGGGTGACGTGCCGGCGACGTGCCGGCGACGTCTCATAAGTTGCCCCGGCTTATACATGGGTACATGGTATTACCTAGGACGGCATGTGCCGGTATATGTGCTCGCGTTATACGGCCATGTACGCAGGGTATGCAGTCGTATACGAAGTGCGTCCCGCGATGAGTCGAGTGCGATGACGCGGTGCCCGGGATACTTACCTCGGGGGCTCTCGGCACGGCACATGCGCGCACCCGCGAGTGTCGGTGGCCCCGTATGCCCTCCGAGGTGGAGTACGCTCGAGCATGTATTATCGGAGGCGATGTCAAGAAGTCCGGGGAGGGACTTGCGCGGGGAGGTACATACACGTGCACGGGTACTCCCGGTCTCCACGCACGTACGCATACGGATAGAAACACAACGAACACAAAGAAGCCGAGCACTTTTGGCATCGACACCCTCGATGCTCACTCGATTTCTAAAAAAGTACTCGTATCGATCGCCATCGCCACGCGTCGGTCCTGGCAAGGTGCGCATAGAAGGCGAGGCAGATGTCGTGGCGCCCCTTGTAGGTAATAAAAGTCCCGTATAGATAGAGACGAGGGCTCGTTAAGACGATCCGAGCCCTGCACTTCTTCCCGCGGAGGGTCTTGAAGGGCCATGTTTATCCATTTACTCCGAAGGACGCACCCGGGTACGCCTTTGTGCGCCCAGGACAGGTGTAGGTGCATGTATGCACACCTATGCACCTCCGGTGGCCGGGGCCATCCGGAATGGGAAAATGGGCAGGTTTACGCACACGTACCGTTCCGGGACTCCTCGACTGCGACCCATTGTTGCGATTGTACGCCTCTTGTAATGGCGCCCTTGTTCGTTTGTACCGTGCCCCCTGCGACATATTTCCGCGTGCATGCAGTTTGACGTGGAGTTGGAGCGGGTCGTGTAAAAGACGCGATTGCCGGATGTCGGAATTTTTCTGATAGCGGGATCAACGCTTGATACGGCACTCGATGGATAGATGGTATCTGATTTGCAGCGATGCCAGGAGCGATATACCGCGTGGAGGGAGATGCGGAGACGCTTGAGCTACATTTTCCCATTTATCGCGACGCGATATCAAAAATTGTTTCGGACGAAAGTTGCTCCCCGGGGGGCGGGGAACGGTTTTCGTATTAATCACTTTTTTCTCCCGACCAAGGTTGGCACGGGAAATTAGGTTTTTATCCGCGACACGGCGGACAATGAAATCGTCCCCGTCGAGCCGTTCGAATTTTTGATTGGACGCCGCGCGTCTGGGGTATATACGCGCCATTGCAAACCCGCGGAGAGAATGACCCGCTGACAAATGACGCCCGAAACCGAGTGTCAAACCGACAATGAAGCATGGCACCCACTGCGCCACTACCCCGTTGTAATGCAAAGTGCCGTCGTTACCCATATTCTCCGGCACTTCCGACTCAATTTTCCGCCGGAAGCTAGCGCGATAACGCGAAACGCCTCGGACAAAAGGAAAACGCGCTGCCCGCGCGAGAAAGCGTAATGCACGATTTTTCCCCTCGATAATAACGAGGCCACAAACCGTTCTCGACGCACTTCTCGGGGGAGCTGCACGCATGCACTTCTGATCTCGCCGATGCATCATGACGCGAATCGCACACGTGGCCAACCGCGTTTGGCAGGGGCTCCTTTAACGAGAAGACCCTCGTCGAGCACGTGCCTTTGTATTTGCCACCGATCAAACAATGCGCAAAGGGAGAATGATCCACTTCTGGGTCTCGACTCATTATTTTCAGGGTCGCACGCTTTTCGACTTTTCGACTTTTCGATCAGGCCAGTCGCGATCCCCGGGCAAAAGGTCGCCGATATAATTATTCGAGAGTCTAAATCTTAATGAAAAAATTCGCCGGGAACTCGAAAGCTGGCGCGCCCTCGAGTTCCATTACCTCGTTTGTCCCAGTAACGTCCCGGGGAGCATCCAAGTGCGCAACAACAAGTTACGCCAACAAGTTTCCGCGTTATCGCAACAATCGTCACCCCCTATGGCGGCTCTCTTGTCCGCAAATTCGGAACTCTCTGTATCAATTCCCGGCAGACTCGACCCCAGATAGGATCGCTCGACTCCCCGTGCAGATTTCCACTTGAAAATTTCACCCGATACATTACTCCCCCCGTTGGTCGCTTTCCCGAAACCCGCGGAAACTTGGCATCGGCAAAAGTGCATTAAGCAGTCGGGTTTTTGCGTCGAGACTTTTTGAGGGCGTCCTCGAAAAAGGAAATAAGATAGAAATTAAAGGCGACATGGAGAATGTGTTCGCTCACCGTCGAGGTAGAAGTAGCTGTTGCTGTTGTAGAGGTTCGTCACGATGGGCTTGACGTTGTCAAAGGTCATGGTCCTCAGGGCGTTGTCCCTAAGGTTCAGAAAGGAGACCCCGGGAGCTCCGGCCAGAAAGTCGGGTTCCAAGCTGACGAGCTTGTTCTCGCTAAGTCTGAGCTTCTTCAGGTTCCTCATGCCCTCCAAGGCGTCCTCGGAGATGAACTCGATCTTGTTCTGGTCGAGTTCCAGCTCCCTCAGCTCCGGCATCTCGATAAAACTGCGGTCTCCGATCATGGAGAGGAGATTGTTGCGCAGGTCGAGCTTCTGTAGATTCCTCAGACCATGGAAGCTGTCTCTGGTGATGACGGCGATCTGGTTGCCGTTTAATTCCAACTCCAACAGGGTGCTCAGGTGCTTGAAAGCCTTGTCATGGAGAGTGGAAATATTGTTGCGGTTGAAGGAGAGCTTCGTCAGCTTCGGCAGACCCACGAACACGTCCCTGAGGAAGAGAGAGAATCACGGATTCAGGACTCTGGGAAATGCGTCTTAGATCCTGAGCCCTGAAGAGGGGACCAAGCAGGGACCGTCCTCGAGACTCACCTGTTGACCTCGACTATGCGGTTCTCGTCCAGGTTGACCATGGTCAGGTTCTTCATGTTCTCGAAGGCGAACTTCCTGAGCACGACGATCATGTTTCTGCTGAGGTTGATCTCCGAGATGCTGGAGAGATTCGAAAAAGAGCGTTCCGCTAATTCCGGAATGCTGGCGTACTGGAAGGTGACCGAATGAAGGTTCTTCAGCTGCTTCAAGACCGCCGTTGGCACGTAGGTGATGCTGCCGTCTTGTCGCACCGTGAAAGTCAGCTTCTCCAAGTACAGTTGGGAGGTGAAGTGCCCCCAGATCGGGTTGTCCACCTCGAATCTGTCGAAAATCCAGCAGTTGGCATCCGTCGCGTTTCGCGGCTGGATGTTGTTACAGTAGCAGAAGACGGAGGTTTCGCGACGCTCCAGGTCGCAGATGTTGATTTCTTTGGTCTCCTTCGTCTTCTTCTTGCTCCGACTCCTGGTCGAGGCGGAGAGCGTCACCGACAGAGACAGACTGGCCATGATGAAAATGCCCAGAAGAATCGAGCTTCTCATGGTGTTCCTGAAAGCACAGACCCAACGTTAATCCCCCGTCAAGTTTCTCCTTTCGACCCGATGGATAATTCGGATTTTAAAGATTCGGTTTTCCACCGGTTAACCACCGGTCTTCGGGGAGGGTGGCGGCCCTGGGGCGCCGAAAAACGCATCCCCGGGCCGTCGAGCTGCGGTTTTGCGTGAAATACGCTGAACCATTTATCGCGGCGAAAAAAAACCTGTCGGAAGAGAAACTGCGGGGCCATCCGGGGCTTGTCGAGGACCGTGAAATGCGCGCTGGGGCCGCATCGCCTCCGCGAGCGGTTTCTTGCCGCACTCGAGACACGAGTCGAATCTAACGTCGGGGTAAATAATATCGCGTTCCATTGGGGCTCGGGCAATTGCGAGACCGCTGCTGGGCTGGGGAATCGAATTTCATCTCACGTGCCACGGGGACCACGGCGAGACCGAGTCCGCCCTAAGACCGGGTCCAAACCTCCACCTAATACCGCCTGACAACGATTCCCGGCAACGACCCCGCGGCCGGCGGCACCATCAAAGATCTCCCCGTTAACGGGGGCGAGGGAGATGCAGATACGCATAAGCGTGGTGCAATTCCGGCACCCGACATGCCGTAAAATATCCCCAATTCCGATATGCCCGCTGGGGATAGTTGCCTTTGTTGCGCGGGGGCGCTTAGGGATTTAATGGGTATCGGGGGGGCACGAGTTGGAGGCCGAAGCCGCTTCGGGACGCCTCGCGAGAGCCCGTCGCGACGCCCTTTCCGAATTTCCAAAGCGGAGTTTATTTCCTCGCCTCGTCTCGTGGCGCACAATGCCGAGGACAAAGTGGACGCAACGGTGTCGCGGTCGATCGGCGTCGCCGTCGAGTCGCGAGATCGAGGCGGCGCATGCTTCGCCGGTCCAGAAAAATCCCTCTGACGATGGAGAGGGTTTCGTTTCGAGGCGACTTCCCTCATTTTTTTCTACGTTTTTCTCCTTCGGGACCGGCCGCGCGCTCGGTCCTAAAAACGGCGCGAGTTCGCGCTGCTTCCTCGTGGCGCGCGGCCCCTTTGAGAAATTATTCTCCCAAGTGGAAAGTTGCATAATACCCCCCGTCGTCTTTTATTTTCCGAGCAAAGTTTCCGCACCCCGCGCCGCGCTGTGTACGCGGAGGCCGCTCGCGCGGGTACTCGGGCTACCCTTTAAAAACTTCCCTCCGGAGAATCCCATGGCAAACAGGGGATTTTGCCACGCGGCCAGCGCGACTTTAATCGTGACGAACGGACGCCGGGATCTCCGTTGACCTCGTCCACGGATTTCGGCGACGTACGAGGGTACACGGATCCATGCAAACCCTCGAGAAAGGGCGACCTTCCTTTCGACGCGAATGTACCCCGAAGGTAGGTTTACGAGGAGCCGCCAGAAGGGATTCCGAATTTAAAGTGAAAACGGGAAGTTGAGCCAGATGCCTTTCCCCCTTTTGCTCGCCGTCGACAGGAGCCGTTTGCCGCGGGACCGCGCTCGCAAGAGGCGCGACCCGGAGGTGCGGTTATCCCCCTTAAATTCGGAGTACCCGCGCGCAGGGACGGCCGAGATTAATCCTAGATTACTCCGGGAGGCACTCGAGGAGAAACAACGATAGCGGACGATGAAGAGAGCGGAGTAACGAGCTCGTCGAGAGAGCGCGCGAGCCTCGAAGCCTCTCAGGGCGAGGGCAAGAGAGAGGCGTCCCTTTGTGCTCTCTCCGTTCCTTGTTTTTCCCCTTTTCCCTTTTTTTTAAATCGCCCGTTAAAACGGACAGCCCGGAGGGACAGGCGTTGAAAGCCGGCGCGCGCGAGTTCCGCGCGAAAGCGGAGACGAAAGCGGAGACGAAAGCGGAGACGAGAGCTCGGACGGGAATCGGCGCTGGAAGCTGCTCTCCGGTCCTTTTAAACCATTCGTTCGATACACTCGCGAGAGATGACGAGAAATGCCCAGAAATGCCCTCCCGTGCCATCTCCCATAGGGAGCGCCTCCCCGAGGTCGCGGGACGACCGGGGAAGGGGACCTCCTTAACGGGGTAGGCAAGAGAAACACGGAAACAAACGGGCAGGAAGCTTCTCCGGCATTATAACCGGGCTACGTAACGTCGGGCGCGTAACCGCGGACGCGGCCACCGGGCCCCGTTTCCGGCCGGAGCGACCCCTTTAGTTTCTTCCTCCCTCTGGCAACCCCGTTCCCGCGGGTTCTGGAAGCGCGGAATTAAACTCCCGAACCCCGAGGAGGCCACTGGATGGACGGCGAGGCGCGCGCTCTCGCTAGCGAAGACAAAGCCGAGTCTCCGCCTTGCGCGTCCACCGGGTTTTTCCAGCCGCTCCTCCCTCGCTTCTGACATCCCGTCGTTCGTCGTTGTTTCCCTGCGAGCCCTCGATACGAAAACCCAGTATTTCGAATCGTTTCTCCGGAATCTCCGCGTCCTTATCGGTTCGTCCTTATCGGCTTCCTGGTTTTCCGTATTCGGCCTTGCCATTACGGAACCACGTCCGGTGATCGTTCCACATTCCGCGATGCATTCGCGATTGCCCCCGGGTATGCACTCGCGTGCGTTCGCCGAGGTGCACGTACGATCGGGAACAATTAAAAGTGCCGTTCTAACGTGGACGACCCTGTGCCAAGTAGGTTTATGGTGCCGCGTTAACACGACCGAGTGTCACGGGTATTAATAGAGACCGAGGGGGACGACGTCATCGGTGACGACACCGAGTGTAGCGATACCCTTCTAATTGGTTGAGAGTAGGTGATTTCAAGTTTCAGAAGTCGAGGGACCGATTCAGGAATTTCAAAGTTCAAGGTTCACCCCGTTCAACCCTCTCCTAAAATTCGGCCTCGCGGGGGGTCCTGAATTCTGGCTATCGGCCATAATCGATATTCGAGGTAGGCGAAGACACCTTCCGAGGTCTACTCAGACATTCTCCATTGATCTTGATTCTGCCAATAGGATGAAACATTGCTCTAATATGCGGTTTAATAAGAAATTGATACCGAGTTAAGGGGCGTCGGAGGTGTCGGAGAAGGAAGAAGGGGGAATGCACCGGATGGGATACAATTTAGGAAAAAGTTTGGGGTCCCTGAGAAGGAGGGCTCCGGAAAACGTCCTCACTTTCTCCGTTAATCGATCCCGAAAGGGGCGGATCGATTTTCCCATCGACCCCTCCGGCGTCGCGGCGCCTATAGGAACGTATTTCTAACACGTTCTTATCTATAAGCTCATGCAAATGCGGAGCAGTTTGCCACGAGGATTTGCATACACTCCCCCTCCCGATCTATACGGGATCGTGTCTAAGCATAATCTGGGGAAGGCCGAGTCACGGTAGCGGCCGACACTCACTCCCGTTCCCGGTGTCCATATATCCTCGGGAGTCCCTCCGGGAGTCCCTCCGGGAGGGTGGTTAACGCTCCTCCCGGCCCTCCGAAATCCCCAGACGAAAGTCGGAAAATGCATCCCTGGCTGTTGCACCGGGCGATACTACTCCTTATCAGTTATCAAAATTGTCACGTTCCAGAAGAGGCGGTATCTGACAGGAAAAGGCCGGGGGGAGGGTAAAGGGGTGCGCGGACCTTTCAGGGATGTTTCCAGCCCGACGTTTCGATCTGACTATTTGATGACCGGCTTAAGGGGGGCTTTTAACTTGTCGATACATCGGCCCTGCGCCGAGCCGACGTGCATCGCGCTCGACCGTGTGTGCACTTTTGGATGCACCGGGGCGCATTTCCGGGATGTTTGCGGATCCGCCCCTTCTCCGCGTATCCTTCGGACGGGTGCATAGGTATCCGCCAGGACGAGGATCGCTTCGACAGGGCCGCGAATCGCGGACGAATCGCCGCGGAATCGCTGACGGATGCATTAGATCCCGATCTGGTAATTAGTGGACGCGTTGCCGCCCATAATTTCGCCGGCTCTCGGTACAGTAGGCGAAATTAATGCCCCGAAAGCGAGGCATCTCCCGAGGGAGAGGAGGGACTCTCAAAGGGGACCCGCCGGGGCGGATCCTTCGGGATGCGGAAATATTCGGCGAATTTCGCCACGACTGCCTTCCCGAGTTAAACGTTCCCCGCCGCGAGTTCGTTAAAATGCATTCGTTTCACCTCCCTTCGAGATGAAATTTAAATCGTTACCCCGGACAGGTCATTTTAATCCAGGTTTAGAAAATATTTTAACAAGGTATATCGTATAATCGCTCCGCGGAATTCCCCTCCTTCGAAGAAGAATTTCAATTTTCCAGGACGACTCGAGACGACCCTTCGGCCTGGCATTACTTCTGATTAAAGGGAGGCAGGCAGTGGATAAAATAAAACGCAAGAAACATAGAGAAATGGAGTCGAGGCAGCGCCACCCCCTCCGATCGTCCCCTCGATAAAGCCGAGCAACGGGATGGGTCGATTAATTGGGGCCTTCTGATCTCCCCGGGGGATCTTCGGTGGGAACCGGTGACACGTCGCCTCGACCTTAAAAAGAGATCTTAGAGGGCCCGCCAAGGGGGCGATAATTTACGGCCTCCGGAGGCGTGTTCGAGGATTCCTCCCTTTTTCAACCTCGAAGCGTCTGCGCCCACCCCGTGGCTGTTAATATTTCCGTCATTACTGTTTTTTGCCTCCTCCCCCGCAGCCACGGCGCCGAAACAATGCCGAGCCGACGAGAAGGGGGAAAGGGCCGCGGAAGAGAGCTCGAAGTCGACCTCGCGAACGCAAATAAAATAATGGCGGGTAATTTTTTTTTCGCCCCTTCTTTCCCCCCGGGACGAGGATTTAAGGGCGCGACGAGGCACCCTGGAACTTCCCGAGGAAATCCGGCCTCGACTCGCGGTGGGAGCATATTTCTGCCTCCGAGCCTCCCGACGAGCGTCACGGTTCTCCAAAATGGTGGCAAGCGATCGCGACGCACCTCTCGCGAATTTTCCGCAATTAACCGCGCGATGAGAGGAGACCGCGGAAAATCACCGGAAATAC